GCACTAAATTCCGCTCAAAGCCTGTGCGAAAGCTACAGCCAATCAAAGTAGACATAAGAACATCAAGGTCATGCATCACACGGCGTGTGCTTTAAGTTTTTCACATTCTATTTAGGACGTCCACTCGTGGGACAGACATGATTGCGTGACTATACACGCTTAAACGAATGATCATTCGCTGAAACCCACTGGCACAAACAGGAAACCATTTACAAGTAACTTAAAACGCTGTAACAAACTGAAACCTTCCTGTTATAGTAGTGTATGAAAAGTTGTAGCAAGCAAGAGCTTCCTTATATACTATACTTCTTATCCGCCAGTTTGGCAAGTTATGTTATTAGTCGTCGTAGTATCATTATGTCTTACCAGATTATAATAGCGATTATATTACTCGCGCTGGCATTTGCCGTTACTTTCTTAGGGAATGTCTTACTTGCAGTCATGGTTATCAAGCTAAAACGACAGGAAGAACACAAGACAGCTGATAGAAAGCGCCACTTTGATGTACTCTTTGCTGCTCTTGCAGTTAGTGATATCCTTGGATCTTGCCTGATATATCCAATCTTACTTCATTTGTATCATCTGGCGTCGCAAGAGAAGAAAATCTCGGGGCATTTGTGCGACATTTTGGGTTCTTCTGCTGTATTCTACTTCTCCTTCGTTACTATTTTAACTGTAACTATGAGTTTTCATAATCTTTTCAGTGGTATCTGGCCTTTTGCTTACTACGTTTACCTAAGAAAAAAGAAGAGCAAATTACCCTTTCTGTGTGTTAGCGGATCTCTGCTCGTTGCTCTCGTCTCACTGACTTTGTCTGCCAAAGGTTTTTCTTTCTTCAATTTAACCTCTGACAAGTATTTGGGAACAATTCCCTGTGTGCCACAAGTATCTTACAACATTTTTTCAAAGAGTTACTTTTTCATCATTGCTCATTTCTTCTTTTGGACTCACTTCGTTGTTTTTGTTGTCACGCTACGGATAAACATAAATACCAAAAACACTCAAATTGCAAAATTTGGCCGAGTTACAAGCAAAACAGGATGCCTTGGTTTGCCTTCTAGGGCTTGGTTCCAACTATTGTTCAAATTAATATACTTGATATGTTGGGCACCTTTCATGGTATGTATAGTTAGGGTAGTCACAATGATAATCTTCATCAGAATTGATTACATCACTTTTATTACGATGCTGACATCATTATCATCATCAGCATTACCTTCAGCACCATAACCAATTTTTCCTTTATCATCAGCTGTGCTACTGGTGCAATGAGGTGCACTCACCATCACCATCACCACCACTATCATCAACATCATCACCATGCCATATCACTTGTATCATTGTCATCATCATCATATCATCATCATCATCACCATCATTAGGGATGGTGTGTATTTTTTTTATCTGGAGGGTAGGTAGGGGGAGATTCTTCAAAAAAAAWAGTTGTAGCCAGGTGCCATCATTATCGCCACCACCACCATCATCATAATTATCATCACCATGATCAACAGGAACCAATACTTCACCACCACCACCATCATCATCATCAGGTGCCATCATCATCATCATCACCACCAGCATCATTACCAGGTGCTGGGCCATCATCACCACCACCATTATCATCATTGCCAGGTGCCATCATCATCATCATCACCACCACCATAATTACCAGATGCTGGGCCATCATCACCACCACCATCATCATCACCACCATCATGTCCCAGAAATGAGAATATGTGCTGTAACAACCTTGGTCTTGTGGTAAACATTTGTTTCCTATTTTAGGTTGCCATGACGATTGTCACATGTTCAAGTTATCACATACCTACAGATGTCCTCGTCACAGTTTGTTATCTGTTGTTCCTACCAGGTTTGGTTGGACCTTTTGTCTGTTATGTCACTCATGAAGACTTGAGAGATGTATTCAACACAACAATAATCAGTATTTTGTCAAGAAAACGTATGTACTACCAGGGATGGCAAAACAGTTTTTAAAGTAGGGAGGTTACAATTCTCCCCCCTTCCCTCGCTATCGCAACCACACTGTCTTTACCTTGCATGACACAAATAAGCCCTAAAAAGAGACCCTAATAGTGGTGGGGAGGGGTACCCATGTCCTCAGTCTGAATTTCAGAACTGCCTATATATGTTGCAATTTTCGGAATGTCCTTGTGTCGCTTGCTGGAATTTACCTATAACAGGGCATTGCTGTTGGTAATTATTCATTAGGGCAGTCTGTCATTCATTTGTAGCAAGTTTGTGGCTCTTATTTTGTCACGGTTTCAATGCAATGTTGCTCGAAAGAATTTACCTCTTACAGAGCCTCTTAATACTGTTGCCTCATGTGCATTAATAATGCACTACTGTGTTCCAGCATGGCATTACAATGAGGGCACGGCTCTTTGTAATAAGCTAGACCATCACCTAACTTATGTCTTTGTCATTTGACTCTTGGTAATTATGATTGAAAACCGTCAATTGTATTAGTTAAATTACACTTTTAATGTGTTTATAATATATTAATTATGATGTACTGTTTCTGTAGGTCCCCATAACGAAGGAAAGAATGTTAAAGACATTGGAATAAATAACCTGAACTGTAAGGAATGAACTTAAATGTTATTCAGGGATATAGCAAGATATAAAGGGTGTCACTGGGCTTCCTTAAAATAAAGAAGGGGGAAGTGATGTGACAACACCAAATAAATAAATAAATAAATRAATGAATGAATAAATGAATAAATGAATGGAATGGAATGGAATGGAATGAATGAATGAATGAATGAATGAATGAATGGATGGATGGGTGGGTGGGTGAATGAATGAATGAATGGATGGATGGATGGATGGATGGATGAATGAATGAATGAATAAATAAATAAAGTATCTACAATATGTTCTATTTATTTATAATGACTCCCCCCTATGAATCTCCAGCCCTCCCCCAGCCCTGACTTAATAATGACATTGAAATAAAAACATTTCTTCATGCACAAACTTATTTTTCATGAATATTTTTGAATTCTTAACAAGCTTTAGTGAACATGATATTTCTAATATATATATATATATATTTGCAGGCCAAAGTCAAGAAAGAGAAACTAATAAACAGAGAGAACTACAAARCTTTTAGAAGTTGACGTAGCAAATCTTGAGCCCTTTTGAAGGAGTAAAATACGTACTTAATATTATTAATACTGATGTCGTGAAATCTTTTGGGATAGTAGTCAAAATTTGAAATCAATATAAATAATGATAACGTTTCAAATTTTAGGGTTTTCTCTCAGTGCACTCATATCCCCCCTCAAATACATTGCCATTTTTAAGTGATATTGTAAAATTAATGCAATGTTATTCAAAATCAATAAAAATTAAGATAAATTTAAGTTATCAAAAATTGATTTTCTCTCCTCACACCGATACCCCACCCTCCACCCCCCCCCCTGTGTATTTCACACGCTACTGAGTTATTTCATAGGAGTAGAATTCATTGATGTTATTAACTTATTTTATGAAATCATTGAGACTCATATTCCAATTTTTAAATCAAGAGAAGAGGGGTGTGTTTTGGAAAAACAAAACAACAGCTGAGATAACGATAGCTTTTATAGCATGTTTTTTTCGTTTCTCTATCACATCAGTCTTTAAAAACCGCAAAAACTTTCTTTTTAAAGGGTGCGTCCGCACCCTCCGCACCCCCCCCCCCCACAAGCCTATGGGCCTGAGAAATAATTTTTTTAATTTTGTCACATCTCACCCCACCCCCCTAAGTAGTTACTTTCTCGATTATGAGTACAGCCTGGCACGAGCTAGGCGTAGTACGTGCAAAAGATGGCTGAACAGYTCCACCAAATAATCCAATATCCTGAATTTAATCCTTAAATTGCGCCAACTACGCCACAAACTGTCTTAGGAAACCTCAAATAAAGCACGATGAATAAGGTAGAACAAGCTGTCTGCAGAATAAGAGAAAAACTGCCCGATAATCAAGGATTTGTGACGTTAGGTGTCGGTTGTGTTGTGAAAAATGAAGAACTTTCCACAAGTCTTGGATGGAAGTGTCCTAATCTTATAGTCACTTCTTCAGCCGTATTAACTCCAGAACACCTGGACCTTGACAGGATATTCCTTGCTGAGTTTCTCGTTTTTGAAAAGAAGGGTTTTGAAGTTTTTGACTTGAAGCTCGCTACAGAGTTTTGCAAAACAATTTCGAGTCGTGCTCTGAGCGAAGAAGAAGAACAACAACTTCCAAATGAGCGATTGACTGTAATTTCCACGGAACCATTAGATAAACGAGGTTTTCTCAAGCGGATGGTCAAGAAAAGCAGCCTCCAGACCACAAGACCTATTGACTGTTTTGATTTTCAGAACTTCGATAACGAGCTCTCAATGGAGGGATTTTTTTGCAACGTGATACGCGAGTTTGGTTCWCTCGCCCATGAATTCGAGACAAGAACCTATAAATTTAAACGAAACGAAGAAAACCACGGATATTTTCTCGAAGATTTTGGACAGCAGGCCGTAGAACTAGACATACRAAGATTCCCTGATGATCAGAAACCCCTAGGAGGGGTAATTTTTTCGAAAGTAGGAGCTTATGTTGGATGTTTGGGTTATGCAACTACTCAAATCGAGCCTTCCTTCCTCCCGTCTTCATATTTCCAAGGTAAATTTGAAGTGAAAATAAAATGATAAAGTAGGATTAAAAAACGCTGAAACGATCTAATTCCTGTGGTAAACCATTTTTAGAGAAGGGTTTCATCTCGATAGGATCTTAATAGCCAAAACAATGATAATTTCTCAACATTATCATCCATTTGAATAATTAGAAGATTCAAGTCTGAATCAAGTCGTGACAAAAATTTATGAAGGATTATTCTCGCTCGGGTAATTTTTATCAATTTTTTATAATTGGACACCTTTGATGATGATTTCCTATTGTCCTTTTGTCACGGAAAGGATTATAAATGGCTTAATTTTTGATTTTGTTATTTTTTGTTGAAAGCTTTTTTTATTATAAAACAAAGTATGAATATGGAGTGATCCAGAAAAATCGATCATCGGGCATATTATTTTTTGAGAATAACAATACTAGATTCCTGTTTGGACTTGTCTTGATCATTTGTTTTTAAAACAAAGTTAATTTGGAAAAAAAAAACAATTATAAAAATAATAAATGGTTTAAGATTTCAGCATGTCATTTAGTATGCATGCAATTGGCTTCCAATACTATTGTAATCTAAAAAAATTCAACTTCAAAACTCCCAGATAAAAACCAAAAAATATTACTTTTCCACACTCTAATAGTGCCCCCAGGTGTCTTTGATCTGATCGTCTAACAGTCTGTGATGAAAGAAAAATTAGGTTTTTCCAAAATGTCTTCCATATAAGGAAGGAATGATTAGTCCTGTTGTGACCTGACATGTCGGTGAGCTAATCTTTTGACATGTCGAGTGGGTTAATGAGGATTCATTGTTCATAAAACAGCATGAAATTTCTTTCTTAGAAAAGGAAAATTAAGAAGTCTGATATCATTGTACTAAATAAGTCAAAAGTTTCCAAATTTTTTCTTCTAAATATTTTATAAGATGGCAGTGAAAAATATTCAGATCCCAATTTAGATTTCTATGGAATATAGTCAGGATTTTTATTCAAATAGTAATACAACTTCAGTTTTATAATTGCTCTACTTTAAGTTTTCAGAGGGTAGGGCTCTTATGATTAAAAATACCAGACTYCTGTGACATCACAGTGACGTAATGCATGGAAATGAATACAATAATTAATTATCAGTAATATATAATACTTCAATACTTTGCTAATAATTGATTTTTATCTTTTTATTCCAGMGGCTGAAACCAAAGAAGAGACTCAGCCAGAAGAAGAAGAGAAAAAAGAAACAGAATTGTTAGTTGAAGGAGCTGCAACTGTAGACAATACAAATGAAGTAGACAAGCTGCCGATTGATGAAAACAAAAATGAAGAGCAACAGGGGGTATCTACTGAAAAAAATGAAGATATACCTCTTAAAGAGACAGAAGAAAAGACAACACCAGAAGAGAAGGAAGATACCAACTTAGGAGAAGAAACTTCACAATCAAATGAACAAGAAGAAACGAGAGCAGAAACACACGAAGGAGAAGAAACTCAAAGTGAAAAGGAATCGTGTGAAAGCAGTCAAATCATTGACACTGAAAAGGGGGTTTCAGGTGAAGAGGCATTTACAGAATGTCCTGAAAGTTCYGAGGCTGTTGAACAGAATACATTAAAGGAAATGAATAACGAGAGTGAAGTGTCGGGAACTGTGGAAGATAATGTTGATGTAAATAAGGAGGTAGATGGTTCTCAGCAGGAGTTTGTAACACCTATTGAAGATTCAGAAAAAGAGATTCAAAAAGACGTAGAAGATGTTACAAGTGAGACAGAAAAAGACAATCTAGAAGGGGGTGAGGATTTGATTCCTCAAGATACGGAGASAGGTTCTTTGAATGATGAGGAAAAAGATAAAAATATATCAAATGATATAAAAGAATCATCTCAAGAGATTGATAATGAACTTAGTGTTTCAGAAGAAAATAAAGATGTTTCTGAACAGGCTGATGTTACTATGGAAATAAGCAAACAATGCGACGAAGGTAATGGAGAAGAGCCAAACACAGAGGAAAAACTGGAACCAGATGTTAGTTTAGTCACAGAAGAAGAAGTTAAAAGTAGTAATGACAAAACCTTTCAAGCCGTAGTTACCCACGATGAGGATGGGGTGACAGAGRATAGGGATACTAGTGAGGCTGGCAAAGAGCCAAGTATGGTTGCAAAAAATGCTGATATTGAAACAGATCAAGTTAACACCAGCAATCAAGCAGTCATATCTGACGAAGGAAAGGTTAATGAAGTTAAATCTGTGATGGAAGAAGATAATGATGTTTTGGATAATACAAATGAGGCAGAAAACATTCAAAATAAAGAAACTATTAAACTGATTCCAGCCCCTACTCTTGAGGAGGAGTTAGACATGAAGTTATTTCAGAAAAGAAGAGAATCAAAATCAGAAGAAGCTCGAACTCAAGGTAATATCAGATTTGTTACCATTTCTTTCAATACCAGGGTTTTCGTTAAATAGTGTTGGAGATCAGAGAAAGCTYCAGCAACTGAGCAAATTTGAATAGGATTAAAACTAGAATGATCTGCAATGATCTTCTCCTAATATCCCAAATATTTAATGAAACCCCTTTCAGGACTGTTCAATTAGTTAGTGATCTTTTCCTATTATTTCAATACTTAATGAAAACTCTGAATACCATCTGTTGAGTGTTTGATTATTCTTCTAGCTTTGTAAAGTATATTAAAAACACTCATTAATAATTCATGAAGGAAACACAATAGAAATCATGACCRTGAAGGAGGTTTTATATCTGATATAGATTCATCTTCATTTGCATAAACTTTAACTTGGATTTTCTCTATCAAACTTGGTTCATTTTGTAAAGAATTCGGTACAATATGAGAACTTACGTCATGAGTTTTTTAAGCCGTTTAATAAACGAGCAGGAGTGTTTTATTGGGTCTAAAACCACTCGGCTAAGCCTTGTGTTTTATACCTGATAAAACACTCCTGCTCGTTTATTAAATATTACATAAGAATGATGCARTACTGTGTTGAGGAAATATAAAGGGAAGATTAGTCCTACTAGTTTCGTGGTTTGGGTTAAGGTCAAGTTGAAATTTCAACAGGAGGCTTCACTGAAATATTCTTTTATTGTGATGTTTGGAGTCGAATTCCACAGAGTATGAAGCACGTTTGCCTGAGGGTTACCCATGATGTATATTTTGGGCTAAAATAAAGTGTGTGAATAATAGGTTAAATTAGCAAATAATTTGCAATTAACATTGAATTATTGTAGAGCGTAATTTACAAATTCTAGGTTTACTGCAACACGTTTGTTCTCTTGAAATGTGCATGATTCAAGTATGATTGATTGGATTTCATAAAAAGTTAARTTGATGAGTGAAGCATGATGTTGACCACCCCTCAGCCGCCCTGTATCAACTAACGAAATTTTTCAAATATCCACTTTCATGGTAATGAGAACACAGCTATTAGATATCCAAAGTATAAAATTTGCGTACTTAAATAAAAGGTGATTCAAGTTTATATTATGTGTGTATATCACAACGCTATCAAATTACTGATCTGCGCATAGGTCAATCATAAAGTATTAGGTTTTATTATGAGATTGCTATATAGTACATATTTGTACATACATAAAGTACATACAGATGAATTATTAATGATTGTAGATAATTAAGTTTCATGTTTATACAGCCCTATGTATGGTTATCAAATGGCCTTTTTGAAAAGAAGAATTCCAAGAATCTCAATGAGTGCTATATGATATTTCCCGCATTGACATACTTAAGTCATGCGTAAAGTATTTGCATAGTAATGTAATAGWCTTTTTMCRAATTCACTTGGRTRACYGTGAARCAATGGTTTGAAATCRAGACTGAACTTGATTCTTTTATTTATSAAGTTCAGTCTCGACTTGAARCCTTTGTTTTGTGGYCATCCARGCRAATTTGCAAAAGGTCTMTTATAGGTGATATCTAACTCTAAACTTCAACCATTTCCATGGGGGAATTTAGTTCATTATTTGCACAAATACAAAAGCCAAAATATATTAATCTTGTTTTATTGCTCTTCATAAATAAATAGTTCTAATGTTTTGCAAGGGTGGCACTTAACAACCAGTAGCTTATAGCCCTAGCTGTGGCCCTCATTATGATGGAATTGGAATTGACCTTATTCGTGGTGTGACAATGTTTTCCCAATTCAGCGTGACAAACCTCTGGTGGAATGAAGAACTATTGTTTTGAAACTCGTCGGGAGATCATCGTTATTCCTTTCGTATCCTTTGGGATACTCATGAATTTTTCGAAGAGTAAAAACAAAAGAAAATGAATCCCCTGGAGGTTTGTCACGCTGAATTGGGAAAACATTGTCACACCACGAATAAGRTCTATTTAGGAGTTGATTAATGAAGAGAGAGGAAACCACCATATAGAGCTGTTATGTYATATCAGTACTCCATTTAAACTAGCCTTGCTAAACTGGATSYTCCTGTATAAATATTGACTTAAATAAARATAAAATARAACCCTCAAAGTATAGGATAGAACCAAYRAGCAASTCTACTTGCATATRACATCRAGCCTGGAAATCRAGTCSATGTTGCATTGGTGTGACRCAGGTGGTCTCACCTCTATGCCATCCTWTGGAAAGTAARTTATCCAAAAATTTGATATGCTATTTATTTTACCAGAAGGRAAAGAGGAAAAAGTTGAAAGTCAACAAGAGAAAGAGAAAACATTGGATAAAGATTCAGTTATTTCCCCTGAAATAATTGCTGAGATTGATAATTTAAAAGAGAAAAGTTTGGTTGATAGTGAGTCTAATACAACTGAGGAAACACTCATTAATGACAAGCCAGACGGACCGGGGCAGGAAGTAGAGGTTATAAAACTGGATCCAACTCAGTCTCCATCYCCTARGAAAGCTCAGTATGATGTAGGGGAAAGCTTGGAACCAGGTAGGCTTCATGTTGTTCATTGGTGTCCTTGTTATCATTATCATTCATCATTCATCATCACCACAATCATTCATCACCACAATCATTCATCATCATCATCATTACCACCATCATCATCATCATTCACCATCATCATCATTACCACCACCATCATTCATCACCATCATCATCATCATTACCACCACCATCATTCATCATTGACATCATCATTACCAACACTTATATCATCATTCATCATCATTATCATCATTACCACCACTTCCATCATTCATCATCATCATCATCATTACTACCACTTCCATCATTCATCATCATCATCATCATTACTACCATCTTTACCATCATCATCATCATTACCATCATCATTCATCATAATCATTGCCATCATCACTGTCAGTCAAAAAATAAATTTCAAATTCTTTTTTAGATGCCTTGCTTTCAGCAACCATCACCAACAATCCCAAGGTTCTAGATGACCTGGCCATCTTACTGGACACAGAATACCAACATGGTGGTATTGCAAGCTGGCATGATATGGCCCTTCTACTAGATATACCAAAAGAAGCATTTGATCACTGTTTATCCTACTCCAAGTCTAGCCCTACAGAAAGCCTCATGATRTTCTTATCCAACACTAAACCTCAGTTTACTATAAGTGACTTGAAAGATTCGTTAAGGTCTATCRGCAGAGCAGATGTGGTGCATATTCTAGATAGGTATATTGCAAGTAAGTGAACTTTTTATCATCWGTTTTGTTGATATTGTTGTCTCACATAAACAACTTGTCGGAAACAGTGCTTCCTGATTTTCCCTTTGAGAGCAGGTACCATCAATGCATTCCCTTGATTATCATTTTTCATTGTTTACAAAAAATCTTATGCCTAAAGGAATTATTGTACAGGGTCTCAGATAGAAACTTGAATTGATGTTTTGGCTTGTGAATGAATAGATCTTTTAAGATTTCATAAAATGCTGCTGTGTTCCTCGAAAGTTTGTCCCTTTAATTTGTCCCTTTTCTTTTGTTTCGTTTCATTCTTTTTCTACAATTCTTTTCTGTATTGATTAAGCTATGTTAATTTTGTTTTTCTCAAATTGCTTCTGCCTCAAATAGTTTTTTATGCTAACTGCAGTTAAGAAATAATTATAATATTGTAACATTATTATTGAAATGAGAATAAAGTTGTTGTTGTTGTTGTTGTTCCTTTGTAGATATATTTACTCAAATTTAGGCTCATTTCAACATATCAAGTGTAAGCATAAATGCCTACCAATGTTCACTGAAACACATGACTGTTCTACACAAAACGGAGCTAACCTTTAGCGGCAAGAATTCAAAACTGGAGTATTAATTCCTTGCCCATCTTTTATAGGATCAATTGTTAGTGATGAAAGTGTCATTTTGGGAGTCGTTGAGAGAGARGACACTGATCTCCTAGGGGAATTAGCCCTAAAGCTTGATCGCAGTGGTCAACAGAACTGGAAGTCACTTGCTAGTCAACTTGAAGTCCCAAGGAGGATTTCAAAACACTTTGGTTCACAGCAGAGACAAAATCCAGCTCTCCTGATGCTGAAGTATCTTCCTATTTTTGACCCTGATTTAACAGTGCAGTCCTTGAAGGATGCTTGTGAAGCTATCAACAAGTTTGATGTTGTGAAGTTCCTTGATACATCAGGAGTTCCAGGTTAGTTCAGTAGCTATTGGGTTACCTGTGGTGGATGGTGGGAGGGATGATAGTGATGAATGGGAATGATGATGATGACATCAAATTGGTGTGATCATAGTGATGTATAGTATTGATAAGTAATGATGTTTAGGATGATGATGATGATCGCATCAATAATGGGAGTGATGAATAAGAATGATGGCTTCAAATGTGAGTGATGATTGTGATGATATTGATGATAATATTAACATCGTCATTGGAATGGGAATGATGATGGCATCAATTGAGGAGTATGRTTGTGATGATATTGATGATAATGACATCTTTGAAATGGCAATGATGATAGTGATGAATAGGAATGATGATGTTGAGTAACAGAAGTGATGACAGTGATGAAGTTGATGAGGATGTTACTGACATCATGAAATGATAGTTATAATAGTGATGATCACTATACTAATGTTGACATTCATCATCTTTTCCAATGTCTCCATTGTTTGATAACCCAAGGTGACTACTAATTTTCCATTTCCCTTGCTTGCCTGCTCTTACAGGAGATGATGCAATAATGGATATCTTAGAAGACACAGACATCATTGACGAAGTTTCTGACATGCTAAACGATGATGAAGTTGTACCAAACTGGAAAGACTTGGCAAAAGAACTAAAAATTCCCGAAGTAAAATTCACAATTTTTGAGCCTGCAGAAAAAAAAAGCCCAACAAAATTGTTGTTACAAAGTATAGAACAGTGTGAACCTGATCTAACAGTAGAGGAGCTTATCCTTGCACTAGTAGCTATGAAGAGACATGACGTTATTGATATGCTGTGTAAACATTTTAAACGTAAGTATCCTGGATAAAATTAATTATTATTATACTATTAGAAGGGGAGGGGTAGGGCATTTCATCCACTGTCATTCCAATTGGAATTTAGAAGTTGATTTTTGCGGAGGGAGGAAAGCCAGAGAACCCGGAAAACCCTTGAAGCACAGGAGAGAACYAACAAACAATTCTACTCACATACGACACCGAGCTCAGCAGGACTCGAACCCGGGTCTTATTGGTGAGAGGCGAGCGCTCTCACCACTAYGCCACCTGTGCTTCCCATTATATATAATATGTATACAATACTGCAAAACTGAGGTGTTCTGAAGCCTGTGAAGAATGACCTGTGAAAAATAAAAACCTGTCCACCATCGAAATAAAAATATATAAAACTTAAGTATTAGTTATTGCATCACTGTTATCAACCTCTTGTCAGCAAAATTATTTTGTTTTTTCATTTAGTGACCCTGTATTCTATAATTTCAAGAGGAAAAGTGAAACCTCCATTTTGCAAATTTTCTTGGTTCTGATTGGCCAACATTTTCTCTTAGATCTGCTGATTGTGTTTTAAGCTTTTCTCTGCATTTGATTTTAGGATCAGACATTAGATCAATTCTTGAGGAAAACAACTGTTTACCCCCAGAACCTAAAGCTAAAGATGAAGGAGAAAACGATGAAGACGACGATGCAGAATCATTTGCTTGATGTTACTAAAATTTAACAGAAGGCTATGGATATCTTATAATATTGTACATGTAGACTGGGCAATTAATGGTAACTATTAACACCCAAAACCATCTGTTGACCAACTGTTGGTAAGTACTGGTCGGCTRATTATTGGCAGTTGGTCGAAAATTAGTCGACAGGTGATCGATGAGCACTTACAAAATATGGTATAACTTTAAGATTCATCAGAATGCTATAAAAATATGTATCTTCACGTTCTTATATTGATGACCTACAGCTGCATACTACTGTGTAGGACTTACCTCATATATTTGACCATAGACTATGATCGCACATGTTAAATATCACTTAAAAAGGTTAAGAGGTGCATCTAATGTGAAATYATTTTATTGTACTCATAGACTAAAGCCCTGGCTAAACAAGGAAACATTTTTTTAGAAAAACAACATGTTTGCTGAGTGCATGCTTCCATGATGTTTCCCACTTCAGCCATGTGGGAAAATATTGTTACTCGAAAAGCATTTTGTTTCTGAGAAGCAAAATATGTTTCTGCAGTATGGGAGAAACATTTCGCTTTTCTGCACCACATGGAAGCAATGTTAAACTCATTTCTTTTCAAGAGTGTGGTAATTAATTAAACATTTTTCCAGAAACATGATTCCTCATTTAGTCAGGAATAAATTCTTTCATGATGGTAATAAAATCATTTCATTTCAGGTGCACTAAATACAATCTCRTACCCAGAGCCATCCTTCCTCTTGGCCAGCACCCTAGAGGGACTTYGCCACCTGGGCTCTGGGTACAATTTTGTACTAAATACTTAAGATAAATAAAGTTTAAAGGGTATCAATATTTCATTTTTCAATTTCATAAATTGGTTAAAGATATATTGTATTAATAATTATTGTTATGCTGTAGAACAGCATTTGTCAAATCGTGTAGTTCCAGACAATATCCCTGCATTTTTGAGGGATAGGTACAAAATTCCCATGGGGGTAGGGGTTTTCAGACCATTCAGCTTCACTAGGGAGGGTGGGGTGGGTAGAATGGCTATTTTCTTAAACTACACAATTTATTATACAGTAACTGTACAGTTCACATTTAAGGCTTTGACAAAAACGTGATATATAAATACAAAGCACATGCGTGTGTGTGTTAAGTTTAGTGCTGCATACTCTAGTTACATACAGTAGTTATACGTACATGTAGTAAAAATGTAGAGTAACCTTACAAGCCTTCTTTAAAACCTATAATTTTATAAAAACCACTTAATAAAGAGACTTTGGCAGGTGCTCATAAAAAACGGGGGGGGGGGGGGGGGGGGGGAGAGGATTTGTTGAAGTAGTGGGGAAGAACCTATTAGAGGGGTTACATACCTGTATATCTTCTATCTGAATTTCACAACTGCCAGCATCACTTTGAGAACATTCTTCTGTTGCTTGTCACAATTCACTCCCAGAACAGTGCCTTGCTGTTGGTAATTCATATTAGAGCAGTGTGTTTTTTGTTGCTAGTTTGTGACTCTCATGTCACCATTCAAGGCTATGTTTCTTGTCAGAATTTACCCCTAAAGGGGCCTATATCCCACCCAATGCACAGTTCTGGCCACACTCCTGGTCATTGTCTAATAGTTGAATACTGTTAACACCTGCTATCTTTATTAGCAATTAATATTTCACATGTTGAATAGAAAATCTTTCTAAAAAGAGTCATTCATTTCTCAGGAAAAGCAAAGATGTTGACATTATTTTATATGTTTGTATAGCAATAAAAAACTTAATGCTGGGAAATTTACTGACTATGATTATTGTGTTATATAATACTTAATCCTTGAAACAAAATTTGCTCGTTACATATTGTGTAACTAGGATCCTGGGTAGTGCATAGCATCTATAGGGTTCTGAAGGGGTAAAATTGGAGCTGGGATTCACCTTGCTTGGGCTAGGAAAATGGGATTTTATGTACTGGGAATCAGGGCCGTAATCAGAACTTTTACAGGGAGGGTGCACATCGAATAAAATCGGACCATTGATCGTTACTTTTAAGAAAGCAGAACCAAAAAAAAAAAAAGGTAACCAAAAAGAAAGCAGAACCAAAAAAAAGGTAACCCAAAGAAAGCAGAACCAAAAAAAAAAGGAGATGGAGGAGCGGACCTTCAGCTTTTATGGGGGGGGTGCACGTGCACCCTGTGCTCCCCCCCTAGTTACGGCCCTGGAATGGAATTCACAAACAAAAAAAAAGCAATCGAAAAATAGGATTGAGATTTGAGCAAAATATAGGCTGGGACTATGGGATTTGGTCAAAATTTGGGCTGGGAAATAGTATTTTTCTTCAGTTCCTTTATGTCTCTAGGGACGTTGGAAAAGCTGATTCATGATGCGGGCTTCCTGTGTTTCAGAMAGGCCTGGCTCTATTCTATTGCACCACACGGTTTTTGCCGGTGAATTTTTCGAAGATTGAATGAAAAAAGATCTTCCTCGATCGAGGCAATATTTACAATAAAACACTACAAAATCCCCCTGACCGTGTAGTTTACAAATTGTTTCGAGTCGCCATGGTGAAAAAGAAGGACAAGAAGAGCGGTGGAGGTAAAAAAATGGYTGCTTTGGCCGCAGCAGTCGAAGCAGCAGAGAACGAAAGCGAACAACTCGAAACAAAAATGGAAGAAATGAAGGTAGAAAACAATAAAGARAAGAGAGGAAAAGCCGCGAAAGAAGACAAAAAGACCGAAGAAGAGGAGAAAAATGAGACGTTTTATGATCACGAAGCGGAGATCAATCAAACTGCTGAAGAAGGAAACGATAATCAAAGTAAGAAAATATAAACTTAACATATAATATATGACATCATGGTATGTAGTCACGTTGATCTACTCACATGGCATAAAAACAATCTGTAGTTAGAAACATGAACATGTCTTTGACTTGATTGAAAAAGTTACTTGGAAAAGGAATTAGATTTTCTGACATTTTGCATTTTATTTAAACACACGTCATCTTTAACTGGGATTTGTTTTGCATTTTTGTGATTATGCAGTTAGTCACACTTTTGAATAGCTAGATAATTTTATATAACTTTAATAACTATTTAGGCTACGTCACCTATAATAGTAAATATGCGTGAAAGTAATGGTCATGCGAATCCAGGGGTTTACATTGCCAAATATTGTGTAGTTCCAGAACATATCCATACTCCTCCAAATGGAGGCATTTTTGAAATCAGAAGGAGAAGGGGTTTTTAGATCAAGAATTCTGAAGGAGAGGGGGAGCATTGCGAAGTGACGGTCAATCTTATCATTCCCCCACCCCCCTCCCCCCAATCTCAATATCTTTTTACTCGTAGATTCAAACTTATATTATTCCGCTTAAATAAAGATCGTGGTTCAATCCTCAGCCCGACCAACACTCAGGTTTTTTAAAATAATTGGGGAAAAGTTGCTACCTTCGTAATCACATCTGCAAATGGTTAGAATTTCTTGTGGGTTGGATGATGATGTTAAGGGCGGTACTGTCCCAAACTGACTTGAGACGTTAAAAGAGGACCACAAGTTTTATTAGTTGAACTACTGTCAAGTGTTATCCTCTATAAACAAAGTTAATTTGTAAATTGATTCTTATTTTCATATTGCGGCAGATGACGAGAATAAAAAGCTGAGCCGGAAGGAATTGAAGAAAATGAAAAAAATGGTGAGGTTATAGAAATTTGATCATAGGATTTGAGAAATATTTTTTCATGTTAAATTCATTTYGTTGTTCTTTTTAGGCAAAGTTTGAATCTGAATTAGAGCAGCTGGAATCATCTCAGTTCTCAGTGTCACAGCA